CCAGCCGTGTCAGACCGGGCCCACTGTTTCCCCTCCCCACCGCACTGCAATGAGCTGACTTTGCCCCACTTGGGCCTACTCCGCCCTCCCGCATTGGGCCTGAGCCCACTCCTCCCCCCCCCTTAGCTGTTTGTCAGCCAATCAGAGCATGAATAAAGCGTTACAGACAGGCAGACAGATTTAGGCTTTTATAATATTATCTCCTCTGATGTACGTATCAGAAGATATATTTACCAAAGATAGCTTAAATTTTCCAAACAAAAGTCATTTTGAAATAGACACCCAGAAGGCTGGGTAGAAAACACCTGGATAATTATGAGGTATAGGTTGTAGTTGTGTTGGTGTAAGGACATAGGCAGACAAAGTTCTTTGGGTAAAGATCTGATATCTTTTATTAGAAAAACTCAGATAGTTGGAACAATTCTTCTTTGCAAGTTTTCGGGTACAAATACCCTTCATCAGCCTGAGGAAGCATCTGCAGTTGGTGTGCACTCTTCCTGGATGGAGTGAATAGTAAAGAAGCCAGAGGCTGGTATGCATGCAAGAAAGCCAGTCAGTGAAGATGTAAATTAAGGAGTCAGTTGAGCGAGAGTTGAGCAAGAGGTTGGGTGGGAGAAGGCAGGAATTAATGTAGCTAGTAAATAGTGGAGAGGTACCTGGGGAATCAGATGTTAGGCAGGTTATAATCCAACGTCTATATTTAGACATTATAATGTAGACAAAATGATTTTTTGTATCCAGTAGGTTGATGAAGTGAAGTTCATAGGATTGTCTGTGAAAGGTGTTTTGTAAATTCCCTTTGAGGATCAGAACTGAGAGATTGGAGACAAAGTGGTTTTCTTGTGAGAAATGTGCCCTCACAGGTAATTGGGTATTCTTATCTTTGATAGATTTCCGGTGTGTGTTCATTCAGGTATGCAGCAGTTGTTTGGTTTCTCCTATATCAGAACATTTGGTCTCTCCATCAGAGCATTTGGTGCATTGGATGAGATATATTACATTTCTGGAGGTACAGCTGTAAGATTCAGGAATACTGAGTGATGATGCTATTGTGTGGTATAGTAATTGTGGGTGGTAGAGATATGTTGGCAGGTTTTATATTTCTTGTCTTGGCATGGTCTGGATCCATTCGGTGTATTTTGGGCCTTTGGAAGTTTGCTTCTGGTGATGAGGTTAGCAAGGTTCGGTGCTTTTTTGAAGGCTAGGATGGGTGGGTCTGGGAAGATCTCTTTAAGAATTGGGTCTTCTTCTAGTATGGGTTGCAGTTGTTTGAGGATGTTCTGTATAGGTTCCATGGAGGGGTGATATTTCATAACCAGTGGTGTGCGATTCATGCTGGTTTTCCTTCTGTACTGCAGTAATTCTTCACATGGTATCTGGGTGGCTCTTTCAAAAGTGCAATCCATCTCTCTGGAGGAGTGTTCTTGTTGAGTGAATGCTTTTTTGAGATTTGTGAGGTGATGATCACAAGTTTTCTATTCAGTGGCATCAGAAGGCTTGGCTGCATATAACAGCTTTCTTGGTTTCTTGGTGTGTTTAGGGTGATTGCTGGTTCTGTACACATATGTATGTTGGTTGATGGGTTTCTTGTATATCATGGTCTGTATTTTACCATTCTGGATAGTGATCATTGTATCTAAAAAGGAGATGTTGGTGCTTGAGTAGTCAAGAGATGATCAGATGAAGGGGTGATGATTGTTGAATTTCTGATGGAATTCACTCAGATTTCAGGTTTTCAGTCCAAATTATGAAGATGTCATTGATATATCTTAAGTATAGCAATGGTTTGGTGGTGCAGTTCTTGAGGAATTCTTCTTTCAGGTGCCTCATAACAAGTTTGGCATACTGTGGGCCTTCTATGACCGGGTCACAAAATCCTTAGACACAGGTGTAGCAGTGGACGTAGTCTTTCTGGACTTTAGGGAGGCCTTCAACACTGTCTCTCATCCCATTCTCATTAAAATTTAGGCAAGTGTGGCATTGATGCCTACACAATCAGATGGGTCACAAATTGACTAGAGGCCCGCACCCAGAGAGTGGTGGTAGATGGGTCATTTTCAACCTGGAAGGATGTGGGCAGTGGGTTCCCCCAGGACTCAGTCCTCAGGCCCACACTGTTCAACATCTTCATCAGCGATTTGGACAAGGGGGTGAAAAGCACCTTGTTCAAATTCATGGACTAAGATGTGGGGAGACGTGGGCATGATAGAAGGGGGGACAGCCTACAACTAGATCTGGACAGGTTACAGAGGTGGGTGGATGAGAATAGGATGGGATTCAATACTGACAAGTGCACGGTACTGTGCCTAGGGAGAAAGAACCAGCAGCATACCTACAGGCTGGGGAACTCCCTTCTCATCAACACAGAGACAGATTCCAAGATGAACATGGGACACCAATGTGAGGACACGGTCAGGAAGGACAACCGCACCTTGTTATGCATCCACAGATGCATCACAAGGAGGTGTTCCTCCCCGTCTATGTGACATTGGTCACGCTGAAGTTGGAGTACTGCATCCAGTTCCGGGTGTTGCACTTCAGGAGGGATATGGACAGCATTGGAGGGTCCAAAGGAGGGCCACTCACATGGTCAGGGGGCAGCATGGCAAGCCCTATAAAGAGGGGCTATGGGACCTGAACGTCCCTTTTCCCCCGAGCACTACCAGAAGTGACAAGAAATAATGGCCACAAGCTGGCAGAGGGTAGGTTCAGGCTAGACATCAGGAGGCGCTACTTCACTGTCAGGTCGGCTAGGATCTGGAACCAACTTCCAAGAGAAGTGGTGCTGGCTCCTAGCCTGGGGGTCTTTAAGAAGAGGCTGGATGAACACTTTGCTGGGGTCTCTTTCCTGCCATGGCAGGGGGTTGGACTTGATGATCTGCTCAGGTCCCTTCCGACCCTACCAACTATGAAACTATGTGGGGCCATTTTGGTGCCTATAGCTGTGCCCATGGTCTGGAGGAAGCGTTGGTTATTGAAAGTGAAGTTGTTGTGTGTGAGGATGATGTGTATAAGGTCAGTAATATCTTTGGGTCTGTACTCTGAGTTGTCATCTTGCTCTTGTAGGTATGTGAGGTAGGCTTGAATACCATCCTGATGTGGGATGTTGGTATATAAACTGGTAACATCGATGGTGGCTACCAGGGGGTTGCTGTGAAGGTGGTCTTTGTTTTTAAGTGTTCATAGAAAGTTGGGTGTGTCTTGGACAAAACTTGCTGTTTGGGTGACAAGAGGTTTTAGGATTGATTCAATGAAACCTGATATTTCCTTAGTTAGGGTCCCATGGTTGGATATGATAGGTCTGCCAGGGTTCCCTTGTTTGTGGATTTTAGGGAGCATGTAAAAAGTCCCTGGGTTAGGTAGTGGGGGCATCAAGGTCTGTAGGTTTTTTTTGTAGTTCTGATGGAAATGATTTGATGGTAGTTTTGAGTTTCAAGGTGAAAAGGAGAGTAGGATCTTCCTGTAGTTTTTTGTAGTAGGTGGTGGCAAAGAGTTGTCTGTTGTTTTTTTCTATGTAGTCTTCACAGTTAAGGGTGACTATGGCTCCCCCTTTATCTGCTGGTTTTATTACTATTTGGTGGTTAGATCTTAGAGTCTATGGCCCTTCTTGCTGACAGGGAGAGGTTGTTATGGTGGTGTGTATTGTTGATTATTTCATTGTTCATTCTTTCCCTGAAGCAATCAATATAATGGCCAAGGTTAGACTTGCATCCACTGTGAGGTGTCCATTCTGATGGTTTTTGGGGGTTAATCTTTTCCTCGCTGTTGTCAGAGGATGAATTGTTGTTGGAAGTGGATTTGTTTTGGTTGTGGATAATTATGAGGCTTTTTTGCAAAAATGTTTTTGCATTTAAAAGCATGTGGAAATTGGCTCCTTCCCCACAGTATTAATGAATCAGTATTTTCCAACAAATAAGTATTTACCCCAAAATTCCTGCCCACCTCTGCTCACCTTCTTCACCCTCCAACTGAATCATGGAAGATCACCTGTCCCTGGGAATGGCACTCTTTAATATGGTATTCTGCTCCGGCATGCCCTCTTTTCGGCACTGCAGTCAGTAACGCTGCTGTACCTCTATTACCTCAGAAGAGTAGGCCTATCTAGGCAGCTTATCACCATTCACTGTCAGGGGGGAGACCAATGCAGAGAAATTATTTAGTTTCTCTGCAATGTCCTTCCCTCCTTAATTGCTTCTTTCATTTCCTGGGGGTGTCTAACAGGTGCTCCAATTCCCTTGCAGGTGTTTTCCCTCAGAGATCCTTAAAGAATCTACCATGGCTTGTTTTTCTAACCTTGGCAATTTTCTGCTAATATTCCCTGGTATCCCTCCTATGCTCCACCTGCCACAGCGTAGATTTCTTTCCTTTGCCTTCACGTGAGCTGCGTTTTCATTTTCTAAGGGATGATGCTTCTTCAGCTCAAATTCTGCCTGACCTCTGCCATTCAGCCTATTTGGCCCTTGCCATCCTGTTTCCTTTTCTGTTTCAGGCTCTGTATCACTTCTGTAGTTCTGTTCAGTTAAGCAGCTTCCATTCCAGACCCAAGGGTTTCTATTTCTTTGCTCTGACTGGTCCTCAAGATTTACGCACCTTCTCCTACCCTCCATTTCCCCTGTGCTGCAGTTTTGTTTCCCAGTGGATAGATGATTGACTTTTTCAGTTTATGGCAGGTTTTTCCTTCAGAAGAAAGCACCAAGCATTCCTGTTCTCAGGGGATGCTGTTGCTCTCTGTTGGCTTTCTGCAGTAAAGAGAGGTAGAGATCAGAGTTGTGGCTTAAATACTTCTCAGGCCTTCATCTGGAATAACAGGACTAGACACAGTCTAGGCAGCAAAGTGGTTAATGACAGCTAGTCCAGGGAATCTGTCTCATCTTTAGTGGCACAGTTTGTGCAGTGGGACTGTTAGCACCACTATCTCCCAGATAATGCTAAGGGACCGTTAAAACACAATCCTTAAATAGAATGTGAAATATGAATACAGACAACTCAGTGTCCTAAAATCAAACTCTAACTTCATTAGTACAACAAGTATTATCTTAGCATTTTCTATATTCAGAGAGAGAAAAACATTCAGTACAATAATCTCACCCAATACCAGATGTTACTTTGCTCAACAGAAAAAACAGCAACTCAGTTCCTGGAAGCAAAGGGTACGTTGTGGGCTTGGATGGCCCAGACAGGGGTGGAAGGCTGGATTTATGACAATGATGACAAACTTTCTTGCTCCCCACTTTTATGCTTTTCTTCAGCTTCACTCGTTTGATGACTCTTTGCTTTCAGATTGGTGTCTCTGCAGTCAGCATACTGCCCATCTTTTATCCCGTCAGCACATTTTTTGTCTAACTGACCCATCACAAGCACACCTCTTAATTTGGCCTTTTTCTGGTGTCTTACTTTGGGCATTGTCCATTGGTCTCCCTTATCGCCTTTCATTAATATATCCAATCCTTTCATCCCTCTGATTCAACTGGTTAGTGCCAAGTTCAGTTAATTGGAGCTGGTAACAAGGCCATTGTTATGTTATGTTAAAAAAAAAAACTTCTCACAGTGATAAAAATAAGAAGATACAATATAATGAGCACCTATAAGCTCTACAAAAACAACCCAAAGCCAGCTAATAAGGACAAAACTTAAGCAATGAGTAAATACGGCTAAATATAAACAATACTATAAGCAGGTACAACTTCAAAGCATTAAACATAACAAGCTAACCTAACAGGACCGTCCTGGGCCGTTCCTCTTCCAGTTCAGAGCAACACCCAGAGGATGCAGGTGAGTGAAAATTGTCTAACCCTTCCCACAGAACATGATTGTCCCTCGGGGCTCATTAGGCTATAGCCCAGCAGCCTTGATCTGGGCTCTCTCCACCCACCCATCTCTCTCAGGCAACAGGATCTCAAAGAGGAGAAAGCACAGGGAATGGGGAGGTCTATTAGGTCAGGCAGCAGCTGTTACAGACCCTGCTCATCCTCAAGCTTCACCAAAGTGACTTTCAACAGCGATTTGGGCCTGTTGGAGAACACAAGAGGTTTCCGCAGGAGCCATCTGCAGTGGCTGGTTTTGGTACGTGCTGCCTCCATTTACCTTATTGGCAGATGCTGACTCCATTTCTCTGATTTGCTGGAACTGGCACAGCAAATGTTTTTTTTTTATTCCTCTGATTCTCCATAGGGATGCCTGGCACTCCACTGGCCATTTTAAGAAGACAGGACCCTCAGCATTATGAGATCACAATCATGGGGCCAAGCTGGTCCTGAATACCTTCACCACTACATGACTTCAACGGCCATAGGTACTGAGCACCCCCCAGGAGCTGACCTTTGCTAGTCCTAGCATAGAAAGGAATGACAAATCAAGGTGGGGCTGGGCTGGGCAAGGCTGGTGAGGATGGCTGTGACAGAGAGGTCAGGTAACAAGCTGACAAGCTATCCTTACTGATGCATTACATCAGCAGCTCATTTTCAGTTGTGTCTGTCGTGTACCTTACTCAGACCTCTTGTGCTGCAGCCTTGGTTTCTCCAATAGCCCCCTCTTTGTGTTGGAAAGTGGCATAGGTGCTAACTTTTATTTTTGCTTGGGGGGAGGGTCCCTAAGATGATGCCCTCCCCCCCGCCGGACGGCACAGCCAAAGCAGAGCCGAGTGGAGCCCAAGGTGGGGAGGAGGCAGGGGAAGATGTGGGTTGCCTGCTGCAGGCTCAGGGCTCTCTGCACTGCTGCCCTCTACCTGGGAGCCCCGTGCCAGCTGTGCCACTGTGGCAAGGCCCCCCTTGCCCGGCCAACAGCAGTGGCAGGCACAACTCCGCACTGCTGCCCCTGCTGCTGCCAGGGAGGCAGGGGGTGACTCACCATGGTGATGTGACTGATGCAGGGCTCCTGCGGGGACGGCAGCAGAGCAGGTAGCCCCAAGCCTGCCCATGCACCACCCTGGCTGGGCAGCTCCCCCAGGTCTAGGCCCTGCCCCACTCCCTCCCTCGCCATCGGGGCCTCGATCTGCCCTCCCACCTCCATGCCATAGACTTACATGCAGTCAGCTGGGGGAGCTGCTCTCTACCACTGCCTGGGGCTGTATCCCTGGCCCCGTGCATGAACACGCACACATGCACACGGTGTCCCCTACCTCCCGCTCTCCAGAGCCCTTTGCAGGCTAGAACTCTGCCAGCCTGCAAGGGGAAGTCCACCATTTCCCACTTTTTTCCGCGGTTAATGGAAAACCTGGATCCCTGAAAGATACTGGGAATCCAGGACAAATGCTGTCCTGGAGTCATGCAGCCTGGGACCGGGACTTGATGTTCCCATTTTGGGACTGTCCTACCCAATTAGGGATGGGGCCTCTTCCCAAGGGGGTCCAAGGCCCTTGGGGGCCCCCATGTACTTGGCACTTACAGAAAGTGGGATGTCAGACTTGCCTCACAGTGCCAGAGGCATCTGCCCTTTCACAGGTCTCCCTGCCACAGGTTTACCTCCTCTTCCCCACAGATCTGGCTGTACAAAATGGCCTCTCTCCTATGGTGCTCGACCTCTTGTGGGGTAGCATCCCATCTGCTCATACCGAGTTCCCTTGCACCCATTCCATATCACACTAGTGGAATAATAATATGTATGGGTATTTGGCCAGAGATCACACTATGCTTACACAGGTGGGGAAAGCATTGTTCAGAGGTGCTGTGATCCTGCCAGGGCTACCCCATGAGGCTGGCCCCAGGATACCACCCAGATAACTGTCCTGCAGACCCAGAGCTGGCACCTCACTCCGTCAGGTCCCAGGGAGACAAAGTGTTACTCCCTTGTTTTTCCCCACTGCTTTTCTTCACAAGCAGTCAGAAAGCTGAGGCTAGTCTCATCCCTCCATGACTGGGTTGCTCAGCAATCTCTTTAGCAACACTGGGCACCTGCCAGCCACCAGAACATATCTCTGTCCCAGGACCATGTGGCCATCTCCAGGGGAATCTCTAGAGTACATCTGTCCCTGGCTTCCAGTTCTCATTTACTTAACAGCTGCAGGCCCCTGACTGGCTCTTTTCCTGGCCCAGAGCAGCTCTCATCCTACAATTCATTTGGATGTAATAGCCCAGCACCTTGGACCCATCTTCTGCTCTCTGTTCCACTTACCCACACATGGTAGTGAAACCACTGTTATGTGGCAGCCTATGTGATCATACCTCATCTAACTGCCAAGACTGCAATAGAAAGGCCATAGCCCCGCATGCCCCTATGCCACAGCAGAGATGCTGTGAAGTGATGCCTTTGGTATAGGACTGTGTTTTTTTTCTGGATAAGCAAGGATCCCAATCCCTACTTTGCGCAGGGTCCAGCTGAGGCATTCCTTAGAACCGAGAGCAGGAAGGACTCCACCGTGCTTCCTTGCTTGCCACATTTGGAAGCCTCATGCCCATCCTGTGCAAACTCTGTGGAGAAACCTCTTCACAAACATGTGCCTGCATCCTCTTTGTAGGTGAGAAGGGACAGAAAATTGGAGACCATCTGCCTGTACAACTCTAATATCCCAGGAAAGCCAAAAGCCATCCCGAATGGACCAGATCTTTCAACAACCAGATGCAGAATGCACAGTCCCACTACTCAGGTACTTATTCATTTCCAGTTGATTGAAACATAAATACAGGTTTTTAGCCTGATGAATCACTTCTGCTATATGCTGCATTTACCTCCAAGGGAGAGGAGGAAGGATAGGAAATGGTTCTTTCGATGTTTTTCAAAGACATATTGCATGGATATTGAGAACAGAAAGCCACAGGACCATAGAATGGAAAGAAGCTGAATTGTTTAGTGGATAAGACTCTGCATTGGGGTTTTGGAGACCTGAGTTCCATCCCTGGCTCTGCGTATGACCTTGGATTGGTCATTTAATCTCTTTCTGCCTCAGTTTCTCCTTCACCCCCTCATCTATCTTTACTCTGTAGATTCTGCTGGCTGATGCTGGATGTGCGTATGCAATACCTGATACAATGGGATTCTCTTCTTCCCCAGGGCTCTTAGCTGCTGCTGTAAGTCATGTAAAGAACAGGAAACAAATGGCAGTTGCAATGTACTCCAGGTTCAGGGTCCCCATTCTGTGCGTAGCAGTCTCAGACCAGCTGCAGACACCCAAGGGAGAGTTCCTGCCTAGGCAGAATCTCTGATCACATGGAGCAGGTGGAGGTGACACAGCCTGAATGCAAGTAACTGAAGGGCCAAAGCCAGAGAGGATCCAAGACTGGTGTAACTGCTTCTCCTTCCAAGGAAGGTGTTACTGCCTTAGGAACAGTCAGACAGAGATGTTCCCAGTTAGCCTCAGAGACTCTTCTCTACGGTCCACACAGGAACCTTCCTAACACCTATCCGCAATGACTCCACATCTGGAAACCACCACCCAACCTGTCACCCACTGAACAAGGGAAAACAAGGGCCACGCCAAGACCAGATCCTGCATGTGTAAAATCCCAGAAGTAAGGAAGTCACAGAAGGCAGCATCGGTACCACAGAAGTCTTGATTGCATCTGGGGGTATCAGGCAAAGATCTAACACTTTCATCCCACCCTGTGCTGCCAAACATCCTGGGTGTCCCCCCACAATGCTACTATGCTGTTTGCAGTGCCGGAGGTGTGCTGGGTACACACAGGCAAATATACCTTCTCATGGAGTTTCCTGAGTTGGGGTATAGGGCAGGTGTGGGCAGAAAAGGGCTACACCCTCCAGAGAGATTAGCTGGGCATGAAGCAAAGAGGGATTTAAACCCGATATCACAGCCATTGAAAGCTGGCCTTTCCCAGCCCTGCCCCTGTTTCTCCCTGTGGCACCTGGTGCAGTCATACACAGTCATACACGCACCCCCGCCTCATGAAAAGTGGCCTGAACCTTTGCACCAGGCCTGCCCCATGGGAGGGATAGAGGTGAGGGGGGAAGAGGCTGGATTCCATCCCAGGGATAGTGAAGAGCCCAGCTTGGGAGAGGGCAAGGCAGCCACAAAGGGGGCAGGTTTTATATTGCCCAGATAAGGGAGAGAGCCCAGCTGAAATTCCTAGATAACCTCTGGCAGATATATGACTGGTCGGCAGAGACCTGCCCTCCCCTCCTCTGGTAAATTAAAGCATCCTGGCAAGCAAAGCCCCCAAGATGTAAATTACTGAATTAACTTGGGGAGCAGAGTGGGGCCTGGAGGAGAGGCAGGGGCTGCACAGAGATGCCCCCACGGCTTTATGTAAACAGGCAGTCAGGCTCACTTCCCCTTTTGCTGCTTCCTCCAACAACTTTTCCCTCAGTCTCCGTTCCCAGAAGACGAGTAAACTGAGTCCCCCTCCTCCTTCCTCCTCACTCTGTCTGGTTGGGGGCTGTTGGGAGCCTGTTAGAGCTCCTTGTGGTCACAGACCTTAAAGACAGCAGATCACACATGTAATATCTTTAATAATGACACGATGTGTATATGTGTGTGCACATGCACACACAGGCCTTCTTATCTAGGTGAGAGGGATATTTTGTGTGAATAGGCCCCAATGAAGAGAACAACGAACTTCACAAAGTTTCTTCTCCACGAAGTCCCTGAATCCCGCGCCAGGCAGTCTGTTTGTTTGCCTGTGAGGCATAAGGAGATCGTTAATACCTGCTGACATGGAGGTCGTAGGTCAGATCTAAGGCCTTTTTGCCAACCTGGGGGAAATGACCTTTCCAATGACACATGGCACAACCTTCCACTCCAAATGGTCCCAGAGGCATTCGCAGCCAATGGCTCCTGCAGGCAGGAAGAGGAACTTCTTGCCCCTTCTAGGGAAAGGGAGCTGGGTTGTTTCATCTCCACACCCTTGGGTGCGGCTGCTTTTCTCTTCTAGGGAATCCATTTTCCATGATGTTTTTGCAGCTTCCATGGCAGGGGCAGGGTCTTCCGCACAAAGCATGCACAAACGCTGTCTGTGCTAGGCTGGTTTCCTTACTGACATCCCATTCAACAGGAGCTCCCTTGAGAAGGAAGGCAGCATGCACAGAAAGACAGAAAAGCCCTAGTGACATACTATTTCCTGCCTCCACCAGCAGCCCACTCCAGGTATTCTTGTCTAAGACCTCTGTTCCTGAACCCCTGCTCGTGTGTGCAACCCTCCTCGCTTATACCCTCATACTCTCTCCCCCATGATTCCTCCCCAGACTTGAGAAGTTCTAGCTGGAAACCCTGGTGCTTACAACCCATCTTATGCTTAGCCCAAGGCCTGGCTGCAGTTATGGCAGGGAGGGCCTCTCAGCACTCCCTGCTCTGCACTGAAAGTCTCCATTATTCTGTGCCCTTCTGACCAGAAACCTGCCTCCTATGGGCATGATGTCCACAGGGCAGAAAACAGCTCTTCCCATTGGGTGTAATCTTCAAGCACATTTCATAGTTGGTAGGGTCAGAAGGGATCTGAGGAGATCATCTAGTCTGACCCCCTGCCATGGCAGGAAAGAGCACTGGGGTCAAACGACCCCGGCCAGATGTTCGTCCAGCCTCCTTTTAAAGACCCCCAGGGTAGGAGCCAGCACCACTTCTTTTGGAAGTTGGTTTCATTGGTGCCCTATTTCTGCACTGCCCCAAACAGTATCAGTGGAGTCTTATGTCACTGGCAAAAGACCCTTTCTGCTGACTAGGATGCTGGCTTTGGGACCAGTCCTGCCAGCACTGAATTGTGCCAAAGCTCCCCGTCAGGATAGCACTGTTCATGCAAGAGCTTCCCCAAGATGTTCCAGTTAAGCAGTGACATGTCCTGGCCCAGGGGTGCTGTGGAGAATCACCACTACACTATGAACAGCCTGCTGCATCCCCCTCAGCCCCTGGAGCAAGGAGTGGGATCTTTGGCTGGGGCAGCTCAGCTCAGGCCGTGTTGGAGCTCTGACAAGCCAGTTGGGAAAACACCCTTCTCCATGATACAATCCCTCAGCATCTCCCCTGTCAGCCCAGCTGCTAAGCACCTTAATAACTCTTGGCGCCAAGCTCCGGCAAGCTTTGTTGTCCTATGTTGTGAACACGCGGGTTACTAATAAGGCTCAGTCCTCGTTATCCCCCAGCTGCAGGGCCAAGAGAGCCGCACCCTCCCTCCATGCCTGTCAGCAGAGAAGGGGGGATGTGTTCGATTAGTGTCCCACAAAGCCTCTGAGAACTGAGCACACACCTCCCATTGCATGGCTCCTGCCTGCTTCCCTCTAATGGATGAGATGTGAAATAAAAAAGCATCCTGCCAGTGCTCCTTGCTTCTCCGATCCCACCCCATTAACCGTCCAGGGCAAGCACCCAGTGGAGCGGGCGCGCTTTTATCTGCCAGCTGACCCCAAGTGCTCCTGCCGACGAGCTGGGACTCCACACACCAGAAACAACGGCAAAGCCAAGAGTTATTTACCTGGCCGGCAGGCATCAAGCATGATAAATGTTTCCATAATGAACCCAAAATGGACCAGGGTAAAGATTAAAACCAGCCCCCGTCTTTCTCAGCCAGCCCCCGCTTCCCGCAGTCCAGCACTCATGTTTCCCCGAGTGCACAGGCCACAGATAAGATGAAGTTAAATTTATCTTCAAAGAACCCCCCAAAGTGACTGGCTCTTAACCCCCTGCTCATCGCCTCCTTCCTCACCAGTATAAATCTTTCCCTTATCTGAACTTCCAAGGGAAGGAGGGGAAGAGGAGAGAGAGAACACAGCAGACTTTCTAAGCCAAAAAAATCTCTGGTTTGTATTAAAGAGGCAGGATAAAAGCAAGCAAAGGGCCCCTCTGAGGGCATAAATAACGCAGGATCGGCTATTCCTTGAGATTTACACCCGGTGGTTTTCAACTCTTAGAGCAACACAAAGACCAACAACAACAAGGCTAGTACAAAGGGTGCTTGTCCCTGCAAGGGGGTTTCCGTAGAGGGGGAGAGTGGACTGAGCAAGGGAGATGTGAAAACAGCTGTGAGGTCAGCAGGAGGAGCTTCAAAGCAACTGCCCCACTGCGCTCCAGACCAGCTATGCAGGGAGGAAGGGACACCAGCAGCTGGGCAGGGAAGGGAGGGTCTCAAGGAAAGAGCCAGCCGATGATGCAGGGGTTCTTCCCTGGAGCAGAGGAATCCCACGGAGCATGCACAGTGCAAATGTGGAGCACAAAGCACTGGTGTGGCTGCACCCTGCAAGAAACACAGATAGCCCCCAGCCACATCAGGTATAGAGCAAGGTCTCCCGAGTTCCAGCCCTGCACACTGCCCAGTGCTGTCCTCTCCCCCAGCTGTGGCAGCTTGACCTCTGCTGGTGTTTCTATAGCACGTGCTGATGCACAAGGGATCAAAGTGGTGCTAGACTGTGTTGGGGACAAACGTTCCTTCTCACACCCAACCCAGAACTTGCTGTCAGTCAGGCAAGATGCACCATGGGCTGCAGCTGCTGCTATGTCCATGACATCTGCAGCCCAGGGGTCCCATCTGGTTCTGTCCCAATGCAGATGAATTTGGCAGCACCTGTCTGTCCCCCAGTTGGCCACCACCACATGAGGTCCTCTGTTCCAGGCAGGCTCTGGCGGGGGTCAGAACAGAAACAGCAGGGAGAGCAGATCAGAAGAAGGAGCATGGGTAGAGCTGCTAGCAATTCCCAGCCCAGAATAGCAGAGGTGCTTACTCATTGGTGGTGCTCTGGAGGCCTGAGTTAAGGTTAAGCTGCCTAAAGGGGCTGCAAAGTAGCCTTGTGGCCCTCTGAGGATCGTCCCTGGTCTGCAGGAATTGCCTGCCTTCCACAGGAGGCCCCAGTGCAGAGGGGGCAGCTTTGGAAAAGTGTTTGGTGGGTTCTTATGCCCTGTTTGATGCTGCAGCCCCTGGCGAGGCCTTAGTCTGTGTCGGCGGGCACACTGGCCTTGCTTTACAAAGGAAGGCCTAATCGTACTGTCCTTTGTGCCAACGCAGGGAGGAATCTCTCCAAGTGCTCTCCAGTGTCATCCCACTCCGTGCTGGGCTCCAGAGAGAGCAGCCAGTGCTCTGGGTGCCCCTTGGCCATTCCCCTGCTCCTCAGCCTCGGGCTCGGTAAAGGGCTCTACACCTTCCTGCCAGAGCCTCAGAAACCTGAAGGAACTGCTGTTTTAAGCACCACTGAGCTACCGTTGTGACACATTGGGAGTGTGGAGTCTGAACTTCTGTTTCATTCACTGTAAAAGGGAATCAGACCCCAGGAAAATGGAATCAGGAGAGAAAAGGAATCTACTCATCCAACAGGCAAAGAGGCCAGATTCCAGGGAAAGCTTCATGCCCGCCCCCCAACCAGTGACCTCTTCCCTGACCTCATTAGCCCTTCTGTAGGTCAGAGGGGGTCTGGCTGAACTGCCCATTAATGAGATTGCACTGGAGCGAACAGACCCGGCTTGGGGTCCTACAAGCCTCCCCTGCTCCTAACCCTCACATTGTTGGGGTGGAACAGGCAGGCTGCTTTCCAAAGCTGCAGTCTCCCTCCAGCTCAGCCATGTTTATGTACCCTCATGCTGCTCCAGGCCGGCTTTATGGCCCATCCTGAAAGCCCATGACCTAGATTCACACGCAGCTTACAAGGTGTTAACTCAGACTTCCTGCCACGGGTGACATTTTTGTGGCTTGGACAGCAGAGTGGTTGCCACTTTCTGTGCTGCTGCAATGTATTCTGGGAGGCAACACATTGGCTTTCCAGATGCAACCAATTTGCTCCATCGGGCAGCAGGCCTGGGTGCATTAATTTGTTATTGTCAGCAAAGTGCTTTGAAGAGGAAAAACACCAAATCAGTGATGAATTATAATTCTTGGGGCCCAGATCGAGTGGAACCATTACCAGGTCTAGGGGACTGAAGTGGGCCTGAGGGGAAAGAAAAGGCCTGAAAATGAACTGTACAGATGAAAGAGCAGCTGAAACGGAGTGCCAAACTAAGCCAAACCTGTACCAAACCTGTTCACTCCTGTTGCAGGGTGTCACGGGATGGGGTCCTGAAGGATGGCTGTGATTGCCCCAAGGACCCTTTACTGTTCCAAATTGGCCCAGTGGGCACCCTCTATTCTCGCCCACCACGTCTTTGATAGAATGCTTAATAGGGAGGCTGCCTTTAAGTCCTCTTGGACACGGTCTTGATTGATTCTCTGCATCCCAGTGGGTTTCCGGACCTCTGGTGTGTCCCACTTCAAAATAGATGTCACAATGGGTGATTTGGGGCACCCTAGCCTTATGGGCTGTGTGTGGCTCCAACCACTGCGTACCACGCCCCAAGCCTCGCAGATGGTACCGACATTGTCCAGTCTAGGTCTTGTTGCAATTTGGCCCCCTTGTCCTCCCCAGGCTCTCTGTAGCCCTGTCTCGCTCTGCACCTCACTGGCACCTGGTCCACAGCCCTGTCTTGCTCTGCACCTCACTGGTGCCTGGGTCTGTGCACCCCAAATGCCGTGCCCTCGCTGGTGCTGGGGTCCCCACGCTACAGTAGGTCCCCAGTGAGGCCTCCTCCTTCCCCTAATAGCCTCACCCAAACCACCGGTCTTATACAACAGCAAACAAGACACCAGCCCCTGGGCTATAACATAAATTCAAGCTGTCCGGCTATAACATCATTCAAGCCACAC